ATTGACTTATCCAATCATCTATCGTCTTACCACGCAGTTTTCGGGAACTCAACATATAACTTATTTGTCCCTGTGAAACTCTATAAGTGGACTTGTTTCCTTCTCTTTAAATTCGAACGCACGGGATTAAGCGGCGAAGATTTTAAGCCGTCCGTCTATAATAAATACAGGTCCTGTCCCATAGCTTATGAATACACTAAAGCCCAAATCAGGGACCAAATCCAGACGCTTATACAAATGAGCAATCCCACGCCACCTCCCAATATATCACGGACTCAAGAAAATTCAGGCCTCAGCTTAAAAGTCCCACCTTATGACACAGAAATATTTTATGGGGGTTATGACCAATGGCCGTCCTTCCGTGATATGTTCACGGCGGTCTATATAAACCACCCCAAACTCTCACAAGCCCAGAAATTGTACCATCTCAGGTACAAAACGCAAGGTAAAGCTGGTCAAACATTCCAACCGTTTCCGTTAACTGACGACAATTTTAATTTGGCGTGGGAAGCCCTCAGGTACGAAAATAGGCGAGTTCTCGTAGATAATAAAATCGGTATTCCCATGAATTTGAAACCCATAATTACATTAAATAGCGAGGACATACAAAGACTTCAATCTTCTGTTAACAATTGCCTCCAAATCCTAGCCACTCAACAGGTCTCAACCCAAAGTTGCGATCCGATACTCATTTATCTTATCTCCTCGAAGCTTCCCGAGAATACAGTGTCGTTGTAGGAACAATCCTTTAGTTCGAGGAAAGACCTCCCAAACTTGGTTTCTATATCTTCTGGGGTCGTTAAATTACTATTGTGATGTTTCCCAAGTTTGTTACTGACCACACTGGCGAACCGCCGCCAGTTTGTTCTCTTTGGGCTACGAAAAGGAAGGGAAACATTCTGGCTAAGCTATAAGCTGAACAGTATGTACCTATCGAAAATGATTTCCGATCAGATACCCTCCAATTTGTCCACCTTAATGCTACCTCTACTTCTACAATCGTTAGTTAGTGTTATGTCTAGCACTTCTTCCCACCCCCTGAAGGTATCAGTGCTAGGAAACGTTAACGTAGGAGTGCTACCCAGATTACAAATTATTAGGTTAGTGCTAAGAATGTAATCGAAAAGAAACTCACCGCGAGTATTTATTTCCGAGCTGCCCCAGATCGAATGCCTGGAGTTGCAATCGCACCCGATAAGTAGATTATCCGATTGAAAATTCTCCACTAGACTACGAACCACAACCGGTGAAGCGTTCACGTTGTGTGGCACGTAGCACGAGGCGATGACCATGCTGGTACCACCAGCCGCTTCTAGTCTCGAAGCTGTTAGATCTGATGAGCTGTGCGAAAGGATGAGAAAAGTATGGTCTTGAGATTTAACCAGAACACAAGATCTAGGCTTACCGTCCGATTTCTTGTAGAATACCACGTATCCATTCAGGTGCAGCCGCTTAACCTCGGTGTTCGATACCGAGGGCTCCTGAATGAGTGCGATGTCGACATCTTCCTCCACCAGGAAGACGGAAAGGTTGTCCGTGGCTAGCCTCGAGTGCTGGCGGTTAATCTGGACAACCTTCAGACCCATTTTCAATTTGGGTAAGCGAGCAGCATGCGTTCCAGTAGCTTATTTGCGTCGTCGACCACGTCAGACTCTTCTTCTTCTCCATTGTTCGCCCGGAAAATTTTTACTTTGGCTCGCCGGATACCGAAGCGAAGGAGACAGTCGGCCTTTTCCAAAGGCTCGATGCTTTCCTCACCAATGAGGAGTAAGAAAGACATACTGGTTGTTTGTGACTCCTCAGCCTTAAGGATCACCCAGTCGTCCATTGGGATCTCGCGGTTAGGTGTACGCAGGTACTTTAGCAGCGCCGAGCTATCCATCTGCACATGTAGGAGCCAAATGCGAGCCTCGGCCTCTTGGGGATCTCACTGGCAGGGACTAGCTTGAGCCCCAAGCATCACTGATGCTCGCCAAACTCTTCTCCAGGAAAACCTTTGAGGGTTAGTCCTAACATTTGACCACCCTTTAGCCGCGCACTACCTCCGCAAAGTCGAAACTGGGGAGATGTCCATTCGGCTCTGCCGTGACCTGGGCCCTATT